TATATAGTATATATATATATATATATATATATATATATATATATATATATATATATATATATATATATATATATATATATATATATATATATATATATATAATGTCTTGAAATATAAAATATATGAAGTATATAATACATGTAAGATGTCTTGGAAGATAAATATACACAAATTAGTTTTCTAAGTTTTAGAAAGATATCTATGAGGTGTATAAAGCAATCGAATTTATGCCAAATGCGTTCCAAGAATATTTAGTCGTCGATATTGGTTTTGATTTCTGTCAACATATCGATCCCCCAAAAGCACATGCAAAAGGTACTTTTCCAGTTTTTTGGTTCGTGTAGTTTATATGTTCCGTGTTGTCCATTTATTTTTATTGTCGGCCTTTTATCCATTTATGATTAAGAATGACGTAATTTGAGGAAATGGTACAACAAGTAAAAAGTATTACTTCATAATATGTTGTTTCAAAGCTGGAACTAATTTGTGATTCCATTTCAAGGTTTTCAGTTATTCCTTGAAGTTCTTCAAAATATGCAATTGGATTTCAGGTTTCGAGCGACCGATCCAGGTATACTGCAAGCGGATCTCTCATCCTTTCAACAGAGCAAGTTTTTATGATCATGACGGGATTCCAAAAACCTGTGCTGTAGATTCACTTTCACCGCGTAATGTTACTTCTGAAGGTTAGAACTTCTCTTACAACGGGTCACATGTAGATAAGAAAAAGATTGTCATGTTCACTTTGCTGCTCGTTATCCTCTTGGTTTTTTCTGCCGAATATTTTGAGCCCTCGTAATAATACATTTCGTAAGTTTGTAGCAAAGGTTCTTCCTGAAATTTAAAATATAAGATTGTAAGCTTCTGTTTTTATATTTTAGGGACATTTGCAGGGAATATTTCCGGAAGGGACCTCGAAATTATTTTCAGGATAAAAAGAATGCTTACAATAAGACAAACCCATGACAGAATTCCTAGAGAAGAAAAACAGAAGCAAAAAGGTCTGAGTAGGTCTTGGTTGTTTTTCAGACCTAGATTTATACTGTTTATTGTTAAACTTCTCTTTTTGTTAAGTTTTTCCTTCTAAATTATAAAATTTCTGGAATATTTTGTCTCTGATATTTTGCTGTATTTTATAAGGTTTCAGAAAAGGTATAGTTATGCAGGTGCTTATATTCTCATGAGAAAGGGATTCTAAGATATAATGAATAATTTTGTCCTTATTCCATTTCTCTTGGAAAATATGTTGTTTGGATCATGGCTTTAGTTGCAAAGGGACGTGTGGTATTTGATTAATACTGATTTTGCATTTTGTTTAGAATTATTCTTGCAGTTAACATCAGAATTGCTTTCAGTTTACATACTGGTGTTCCTCGATATGGTAAACATGTTTACATTGCTTCTCGTTTTTCATACATTTTTTGTAAATCTTACTGTTTCATTTGTTTAAAAGGAGATTTTTTTTAATTTTATTAGTTTTTTACTGGTTATTTTAAGGATTTGATTTTGTTGAATAAATGAAGACTTATTCAATTGATATGTGATTAATAATGGTAAGCATTTTAATGATGCAGTATACTTGAATTGATCATTCTGTGTATACACAGTTTAGTTCATCGAACTTAGTGGTACGCTAAGGTTCTGGTTACATCGCTTTATATACAAAGATTGATGAGATTCATTGATATGATTAGAAAATTTGCTGGATGCATATCTCTGAAGTATCATTTTGCTACAGTCCTACTGTACTTTAACCCCTGTCACATGGGTTAAAACAATATAAACAATGCTTTCGCGGCTAAAAGTTACCGCAAAGCAAGTCAACTGAAGAACGTTCTTGTTCCTAAAGTTTATGCCCCATTTTCTTGAGCCATAATAACATTTAGCAATTGACAAATGACTAGGAAATGTCGAGATCATCCGAATTTGATTAAATTTCATGCTTATCATATTATCTAAACAAATAGGTTGTTATGATTGTGCCAGAATATTGTACATTATGTGATTTGGTTATTCAGGAAGTGGACTAAATATATTTCCTTCATATCAGAAGGCTGTGATTTGGTATGAACATTCGTTCATGAGAAAGGTGAACAGCAACTTGCATATTTTTAATTTGTTTGTGACGCTGGAATAACTTTTCTTCAGTTTCAAGTGCACTTAAGTGACTGTCACGATCAAGCTTGTTTTTTGGAATTTAACTGGAAGAAAAGTGAGTACTTCACTTATTTTTTTCTATTTCAGCACAAAAGCTAGTGGTAGTGCAAAATTTCTCGGGTAAAACTTTTTAATTGTCATTTCCTTTTTTTCCCATTTTCAGACATGGAGTGGCCAAAATTCGATTTTGCTAAGTATTCATATATTCAGTCACAGCGACTGTCAAGTGCTAGGAAATCGAACTGTGGTTTGAAAAAGAATCGGTCTAAAACCTGTCGTTCTTTGGCGCCCGATTTTGAAAATATCACTAAAAAGAGAAGTTCAACGAAAAGAAACATTGTGCAAAACGAAAGTATTATAACCTTGCATCAGCAAATATCGCCGAATAGTAATCCATCAACCTGCGCACGAGATCTCTTCCAAATGAATAGGAAAATAAATACAGAGAAAATACCACCGTTATCGCCAATCCTCATCAATGGATTTCTGAAGAATGCAACAGCATATTCGCCCGCACCTCTGAAAGATTCAAATTTAAATGTAAAAGAGATGTTAATATCAATGCGTACAGATTCAGTGAATTTAGTAGCAACTAACACTTCGCATTGTGAAGATCCGATTATTCTTGAATCTCCGGAGCCTGTATTCATTCCGCTACATTTCTCATTACAAAGATCAAAAGTAATACCACGAAATCAGACTTTTACTAATCAGTCTAAATTAAGTACTTCTTTTGCTACCGCTGCAAAGGAATCCGGCAATTTAAATTCGAAATGCTGGAAAAATGGTAAAACAAATCACAGCCCGAAATTGCATGCATCTTCCAAGACAGCAGTTTCAATAAGTGCCCACTCTTTGGATAATTCCCTGATTTCTCTGGAAACTCTTCCACTGTTTGAAATTCATCGTAAAAGTTTGCACAAGAATGAGAATTCCCCAAACTTAAATTTTATAAATTCTCAATTAAGCACTGAAACTGACGAATCCATCACGATACGACATACGCGGAGCAATAGCGATGTCTTGCAAAATCATACCGTTTGTATTGACGATTCCGAAAGTGTTGCTACCAAAGACGAACATTCTCATGACTGCTTTCTCGACGTAATCCATGAGATAGAACCAAATAATCCAGATTTTGAGACGAAAGTTTTTGTACAAAGCATATCTTCACCAGCAACAAACCAGTTAAAAATATATGGTTTTCAAAACGAGAGTGTTGAGGTGATACATCAAAAGCAATATCATCGGTTAAGTAAGCTCGCGGAAACACTTAAAAAGCGGTTGTTTATTGGTTCGTCAGATTTAGTTATGTGGAAATGTGAGGAACCGAAGCAACATCCAGTTAGACAAGTTACAATGATTTCAAAGGTAGAGCAATGGGGATTCTGCTGGACGTTGGTAAAAAATATCAGCGATTCCGAAATTGCTCATATTGTGGATTCCGAACCAATGAAAAGAACTGCGAAGGTGTTATCTAGATACAGAAATCAGAGGGAGAGAAATGTTGGTGATGATCAGGAAAGTCGAAGACGCTATGTTTTATCGCAACGAACTTCAGAAGGAACTTTCTGTCTTTATCAACCTCTTTCGAAGTTAAATACTTCTTCGGGTGAATTTATTTTATCGCCTCGTTATTATCGTTGAATTCACCTCTGTAAAAACATTATTAAGAGTGAATTTTTCTGAATGTTCAGTGAAATGATGAGATTGATGCTTGAAGACTTTCGTTTTGTGTGCAATTGGCAATGAATTGCTTTTGTATCCTCAAATTTATTCCGAATGAGTGCTAAGAAGCGATATCTTGATGTTTCGCTCAAATCTTTTGTTGGAAAGAATGCCAGTTTGTAGGAAATGTCATGTCATAATACAAAAGTTAAATTGACTGATTTGATTATTTAGAAGTTTCATTTGCTCTTAACACTGCAAATTTCTTTCAAAAAATTCAGAAAATAATGTGGGAGTATTCATAGGTCCATTTTTAGGGAAAGCATGTACTCCATCTGTCTATTTAAGAATTAGTTTATCAATTGTCTTAAATTATCTTTACTCAACTGTTCATTTCTGTTGCGTTTTATCATATGTGCTTTAAATTTTACGGACTAAACGTTTTGTACAGGGCTTTTCAGTTTATGATTCAAAATGGGATCTACCCTTTTACATTTAACTTTGGAGCAAGAATGAATATGTTTCGATATGGAAAGGTCACAGAACCTGTATATAAGTTTGGCGTAGGAAAAAAACCAGTGGATTTCTTAAACTTATAAAAGTGTGTCGGGAAAGTTGTTTTTTGAGTTCTGACATGATCCATGGTTAGACTTTTGAGCAATGTTCTTCGGTTTGTAACACACCTGTGTAATCATTTGAATATGCATAGGGAGCGGTAGTCATCATTTGGGACATGTGGCGTTCACTTATTGTTAATTTGTATGTAAAGAAATCTATGTATATAAGGTTCATACAGCACTCTTTTGAATCCCTATAGAACATATGGATCTAAAAATCAAGCCCTCATTAGATCCAGTTCTTAAATTGTTTCAGGACCGGATCTAATGAGGGCGTGATTTTTGGATCATAACTACTGCGGTACTCTTAAACTGTTTGAGAGTTATGGAATGAAGTGTATGGACTTCTTAGTTGCCCTTTAATAACTACTGCAGTTACTGTTAAGAGCGAGGATTCCGTACTGGTAAGAAAGTAACCGGAAAATGCTGCAGTGATGAATTAAAATGTAGCGCTGTTCTGTTATTCACAATGGATCATAGCTACTGGGGTACTGTTATTGACTAATGAGAGTTAATTGGAGGTCAGAGTGGGTCATTTTGGGACCATTTCAAAGTCATTTTTATCAAATTTTACTTTCAACTCGATTACACCACAGAAATCAAATTTGTTAAATGAAATTTATAAGTTGATAACAAAGAAGACATAAATATCTCTCAATTAAAAAATTTATCCATTTTGCAAGAATTTGGCTTTTAGGAAGGTTGGTTCGGCAATTGGAAACGCTTCAAAAAAGCTAATATAAGCTGTAAGAATAATTTATGAAAAGATTTTGCTGCGCAGTATTCTGCTTGCACTGCAGTGATTTAATTTTGATAACTTCCTTTAATTAAGGAAGTTATCAAAACTAAATCTATATAAGAAGGAAATTATGATTTGTCTGATCCAAATTATTTTACACCCTTTTACCAGGCAGTACGCATTGCCGGTGTTGCAGATAGTTATGGTAGAATCATCTTATTCCGGTTTGGGTATCGATTGTGCTTACTCAGTGGTTGTTCGCACAAGTGGCAAAGAAAATGCTGGGACCACAGCTAATATATTTGTACAAGTGTGTTTGTCCTTATTCAAATTACAAGTATAAATTTAAAGGGTTGAGTTTGCGTGATATCAACTTTGTGTGGGAGCATATTGTAGTTGCGAACAAATGCTTTGCAGTTAACGGATGTCGAAGGCAAACAAACGGACAAAGTGCGTCTTAAGTGTTCAGTTAGTCATCGGAAGAAATTTCAGCGAGGCCATGTAAGTCAAGTTCTAAGGAAGAGGAAGAGAAAAGCAAGGAGAGATTTAAATCTTCATTGTTCCTAGTAACGACTACTAGGATATGTTTAATGTCACCGGAAGGATACATGTGTAAAACTTGGATAAAGTTCCGAAATGGCTTCTAAATTCTAATATATATATGACATCAAGTAAACAGCTCGTTTCTTTCCTCATCTGTTTTGTTTGTAGTCGGATCTATTCTTGCTTATTGAGCAAAATCCATTATCGAAGCTCAAATCACTGGAAGTATGGCATGAAAAAAAGGGTGACTGCAGGCCGTGGTTACTGCATTCCGTATATATCATCGAACATATGCATCATACTCTATATCAGTTTCCATGCCACAAGTGGCTTGGTGACGATCCTGATGACTTAGTTATACTTTCTTTTGCAAAGCCAAACTTTTAAACTTTGCAAAATTATATACTTAGTACCAAAATCAAAAGGAATTGATTTTATAAAGATTTTTGTGGTAGCAATTAACATTATATCTTTTGGAATTCAGGTAAAGAACACATACCATTAAGGTAAAGTAGAGAACCTGTTACGGTCCACAACCGAGGAGTTCAGGAAAGGGAAGGATTCCAAAACTGTTCTAAATTGTAAACATTCAAATTTAATAACTCCGATAAAACACCTTGCTAAACCTATGTCACTGAGAATAAACATGACCACAGTTGCAAAGTAAGTGTTTTAACACAGACGTACTTATGTTAAGGAAAATTCATTTGTAGATTTCAAGTGTGAAGCTGGATGCTGTAGGACAACCGTTTAAAGTTCTGCAAGAAGATGAATTGTGATCGGAACTGTTTCTGACATTTTGTCAATGAATTTTTTTTGCAAATGATGCATATTTCCTCCGATGTGGTGCAATTTTCCTTCTAGACTTCATAATCTCTCTTTTTTTCTTCGCTTGAAAATCCTTTTCGTACATTCCTTTGTCACCTTATCCATACGGCTTCACTGGGTACATGAAATACTAAAGCTGCACGACGAGAGATAGTACGAATGGAATATATCTACACAAAAGCTGTTTTACGGGATGGAATTACGTAAATGATGCATGATCTATCTGCACACTTCATAAATTATTGCTTTGTCGCAGCAAAGTCTATAAGGTTTGGTATCACGATTGCGATATCGAGCATCAACCGAAGGTGTATTACTGATGAAGGGTCATCGCCATGGAGATAGGAATAGGCTGACAAATTTGAAAAATGTGCAATAGAAAAAGCAAGACTCATGTGTGTCTTTAAATGAAGGATTTGAAGACTGGGAGACAGACTCTGAATCGTGAAATTTCATGAGCAAGAGAGTGATCATATCGGTTCCCTCTATTATGTGCCTTAAACGCCATGATGTCGATAAACAATCTTATCCTAATCCAGATAACGGCAAGGGCAGATCACTCTGCAGAAATCGACCATAAATAATTGATATGAATTGAAAAGGTATTCCCATACTTATTTAACCAAGCTCCGATAAAAATCCGAGAAGGAGGTAGTTTTGTGTTCGGACTATGCATTCAACTTGGATCTTAATGTTCCCATGCAAACTGAGATCGACGACCTTTTCAAACTGCTTCTATGAAGAAAATACTGTTTCAGCTGAAAACTCTCACACAATACATTAATGCAAGCTCTCGTAGGAAAAGCACAAGATCCGGAACGATAGTTACTGTTGCCATTCTTGATAATATTGAGGTCTCTTGCAACTTCACATCTAAGAATATTTGCATGCTGCCTCCGAGAGCAGGAATTCAATCTTCCGGAGTTGCCCAAGCCGAGTTATATCCTTATTGGCGGCCTTTTGTCATCAAATCCTTCTATCCCGAATGGCTTCTGTGGTATCCATCTGGTGATATCTTTCGTAGTGTCCCTTCTGTAACAATTTATTCATAACATCCGTTTCCTCTCTCCTGATATTTCGTTCGAATTAATCTTCAAGAATTGTTAAAAACTGTCAGAGGAGAACATTTTTTAAAAAGAAACAGCGCTATTAATGGACCGGAATCACAGCAGAAGGGAAGTGTCGGGAATTACAAATCCTAACTGCTGAGTCTTTCATTTAAAACCGCGAGAGGTAGATTAGGGAATCATTCGACAAACTGCTCTTCCTGGTATTTTGCCACTGGCCGGCATCGTATTCTTTCATTCCCTGTTCTCTTGAAAATGTTTGTAATGGTTCCGTAATGTTAGATTGACTTCCTGGTATTTCCAGAAGGATGGAAAGGACGGAAGTCTCAGAGCTGTACTGCAAGAAAGCACCGCGAATAATCTCCAGAGGTCGATTGCGTTCTGCAAATGCTTCAGTCAAAAAGGGTATACTTTCTAATCTTGTCGTTTCAGCCATATACTGCTTTCCTCATCTGAAGTATTTGAGACGACCGTGCATGGGAGAAATTGATTCTAAATAGACGTAATTCAAGATGTGGACTTGATTTGCTAGTTCGGGGTAAGGTGAGGTAAGAAGGAAGGCAAAACATCCATCTTGTTCATTACTCTGCCTGCTCATTATTTTCTTGTTTGGATTAACTTTAAAAATTTCAATGTACTTATGTTCAAATGATAACACACAATAAGGAGGAGATTTTGCCATGCAGACTGATAATGAATTGCTTGTTTAAATTTCTAGAAAAAGAATATGTTAAGAACGACTGTGAAATGGATGATGAAGTTGGAGAGGGATTCGTAGTTCGAGGTGGAGTAATGATGCGGGTTGCTGATGTGAACAAAGAGCAGTGGAAACCGATGAAACGATTCTATATCGATGTCAACCAATCGCAGATATATGAACATGCTGAAGCTCATGATGGGATATCATTGGACGATGATGCTATCTCGTCCCATGTTACCGTTGAAGTTTCTGCGCTACCTGGCGACGGACGAATGTTCCATATGTGTGATAATCTTCCAGGTTTAAACCATATTTTTTTATCCAATCGTTTGATCAAACAAGCTTCATGGTTTATAAAAAAGTGAATCTTTTTCTTTTTTTTTGCTGGATAATATGCGAATATCTGACACTGTGTATTAATGGAAGGCATTTAGCAAAGATCATAATACTTGGTCGGGACCATCGCGAATTCTTTCAACTATCCAAGATTCATTTTCGTAGCAGTATAGTGAATTTACTTGATCGGATTTTCATTTTGAATTTTGCTTCGTTAGCAATGGCTGACAACTTTAGACGCTGAATAATTTTAGGTGTAGCAAATGAGGTGGAATCGTACCCTTGCCGTTACTGTCCCAATCGTATTTTTTTGACATCATTTGGTCTGGAACGCCATACTGAAATGGAGCACAAGATGCACCTTCCTGAAGTTATGGAAGAAATATCAAGGATTCATAATGAGTGGAGGAGGTGATTTATCCACCTCCAAAAGACTGGTTCATTGTCGAGAAAATACGTTCAATTTCACTTCACTTAGCACGAAATCTTTGCATCTTTTCTCCTGTACTATTTCGTTCAATCTGGTTTTATGTATCTTCTAACCCAATTTCACGTTCATCATTTTAAGGAGAGAGGCATTCAAAACTATAACGAAGAAACGACGTGAGGCGTTAAAAAAGACAAGAATGTTAACAGAAGTTGTAAGACGTTCTCGTAAGTATTTCCCTTCCGAATACTTTTTGTTGAATGATTATAATGGAGAGTAGAACTTTATATTAAAGGTTAAGTAATACTGAAGACTTCAAATTCTTTAAACTGATACGCACTTAAAAGTCTAGACTTTTTTTTCTAGTATTTTTTCTTTTTGTATCCCTTCTTTTGATGCGCATTTTTTAGAAAGTCTGCGATTCGAAGATCGTTCTACTGATAGGCATCACACAAATGCTTTGAGTTGTCATATTTGCGGTCTTGATTTGGAAGCTAACTGCAAATTTATGATGAATCATTTCCGTGCCCACCGCAGAAATGATGAATTGAAACGACGATTATTAGCAAGTTTTGGTCCTTCCGTAAGTTAGGTTTCACTTGTTAATTCCACTTAATCACAGAATTCAACCAAATGGTAACAGTGGCTGCTTTGGAGGCATTTAAGATATCGCGGTGTCTTAATGTTTAGAATAATGTGTATTGCAGTACGTTGCACGTTGCACTTGCCATCAGTGTCATTTGGTCTTTGTCAATGAGAAAAATTTGATGCTACACAAAGAATCATCACACCTTAGAAAACGAAAGTGAGTGCTGTAGTTCTTGAATTTCTCTGTTAGCTTCCAAACGACCTGCTGCTATGGAAAAGATTAGAAAGTATTTTTTGATCCATTGCATTTATCAAGCTTATTAAAATCACCTTAAACTTACCAACCAGAACTGGATATGGTACTACGAATTGAGTTAGATTGGAAGGTATAAACTATATTTGATCAATGCAGTTGTATCAGTACTGCTGAAATGCGGTTGCAGGACAGGCAAATCAATTTTGATCTGTCTTGCAAACGCATTACAATAGTTTCATGCATTGTTATCGGATCAGTCGTGATGATGACAGTTATTTTTTGAATTTATGATTAGTGAAACAGTGAAACTGGATATAATGACACTAAAGGATCAAAGCAAGATATATTGAAATGAAATGTTATATATGACATTTCATTTCTTGTCATAATTAAATTCAGAAATCTTGACAACACTTTTAATTTTAGGGAAAAATTGTATTGCTTTAATATAGGTTCTATAAATTCTTGGACCAGAAAAATTTTTTTTAAAGTCTTTGACGTTTTTCAGGTATGTGTGTAAATGGTGTGGTGATATGTGTTTATCAGTGAATGAACTGAATGAGCATAAAAAAGATGTGCACGGTATACCATGCAGTCGACCGGAAAAATCACTCTTCATTAGTACAACCAGCAATTCCCAAAAGAATGCTGCAACACTTGATGTTGTCGCTGCGGATGGTAGTTCAGCGGAAAAACAGACATTGTCTGGAAGTGGCTTAACCGATATTTCTTCAGGAAATTGTGCGTCTTTGCTGAATCATAATCCATGCATGTAAGCAAATATCTTCGAGGTTTTTTTTCTTTTCCCCAGGACTAAACTGGATCCTTATTTATTAAAAAACTTTTGATCTATTGTTCTGATGCTTGCGTTATATATCTGACACATTGCATATTACTGAGTGCTGTTTAATATTTCCTCGAGATCATTTATTTCATTTCATTAAGAGCGAAGTGTGGTGAATGTGGTTTAACTACTGTGAAGCCGTCATTACTTATACGTCACATGCAACGTGTTCATAATAAAAACTGCTTCTCAACTATAATTGAAATGAAAGGTTTGCCCAATATTAGAGTGGATATGGATCGTGGAAAAGTAACTTGGTGGTGTTGTAATTTCTCCTTCGAAGACAAGTTTGTTTTCTTGATGGCTAATCAGAACTGTTTAATATCCGTTCACTTTTTGGAAATAAGTGTTTATGTCTCAAGCAGTAATTTTTAGATATCGTTTTATCTATCACAGAAAAACTTGTCATCAGCTGGTTCTTGAATACAATCATTTACATAATTGTGCGGTTGATACTAGAGGGCAAGCTATTACCGTGCATGAAACTGATAGAGAATTCATGAATACAGGACAAACTGCGCAATTAATCAATCCTGACGAAACTCAAGATGATGAATTGTACGTTTTGATGGCACAGGAGAATCTCGGTATTTTTCTTTCCTCTCCAAAACTTTATTGATTTTGTCTAAGATTATTAAGTAAGATGTATTAGATTGTTGCAAATTAAAGAAATTTTGAACTTTCGTGGAGTTGGAGTTTTTTTAAAAGCAATCCTAACATAATAGGATGGGTATTCTCGACTTTGCTGATGCAGATCCCTTTTTTTAATGATATTCTTGCAGAGTGCTCAACTTATCGTTATCAATAAACAAAAAGAAGGACTGACCAGTATTCTAGAATATGACTTAAGTGGGAAGTTAGATCTCTCTGATTAAAATTTTTTCTTATATAGTTTCGAGGTCGAGAAGTCTGTTTGATTTTGATATTCATTTTTAGAACAGGGGAGGAAAACTGCTTTACAAGAAATCCGAGCAGGTGAATCGATAGTAGAAGGTGCACAGCAGATTACCCTAACAGCTATTGAATTTATGCAATTAAAGCAGCAAGTTGGTGAAAACTTTGATGGTGCTATGGTTAGTTATTGCAAACTTCGCAGTTTAGAAATTTAATTTTCGTAGAACTTTGTTCATTTTGGCATGAATTTGAGTTTTGCACTTTTTAGCAAATTTTTCTTGTTGATGACATGAATGGCGCACAGCAACCATCACCAAATTCTGGAGTGGAGCCATCAGCTGATTTCGTCGCAAATAACGATGTTCTGAATTCGGTACTTGTAACAAACACGCAAATGCCACCCACAGATGACAAATATTATTCCGGCACGCACTCAGCTGAGTCAGAGTCTTCTGTTGGGAATGTTCCCGACCCTACGGAAGACAAAATATTGCAGAATGACTTACCGCTACCATCGCAAAACCTGATTAATGTAGAAACGAGTTCTTCAAATCTATCCATACCAACCGTAACATTTAGTCGTGGTACTTTGATAGATAATTCTCTAAAGTGTCATTTTCAAGTTCAGAAGAGTATCCTTAATGAACTAACAGCAATTCCCACTGTTGCGATTTCGCACAGTGCACAACAACTTCATGATAATGTAGCATATTCTCCCACGATGCTATGCCCTGAGTTGGATGGGGTGCCAAGATCGGCGCCAGGAACTTTCCCATCCATTATTGTAATTAATAATAAAGAAACAATTTCACCCCCCTCCAGTACTGGTTATTGTTCTATAGGAGGTTTAAAAATAACTCGTAGTTTTCTGGAAAGGCCGAGTAACAGACCCACTTCTGTCCTGAATAGCATCCCCACTTTATTGGATTTAGATCGAAAGGATACCCTTACAACAACAGCAGCGAAAACAATGATTGATACATCTTCCTTACAGCACTTATCAACAACTGCAGTTAGAGATGATGCAGTCTCGTCTTATATCAGCCAAGATACCAATTCAGCTGTTGCCAGTGTGTGTAATTCAACAATATATAATCTTTCACTAGGTGAAAGTAATAAGGTTTAAAAGAAACAGTATGATATTGAGTAAAATTATTTTTCAAAGGTTAAATACAACAGTTTTGCCGTATGTTAAAAATAAGTAATCTGTATCACTGGTTGTTATAGCCTGTCCAAGTTTGAAGTTAATATTAGCTGTTTTGATTCTTTCAATTCTAATATTAATGGTTTGTGCTTGAATGTATTCATCAGTTGTAATCAGTTTCAAATCTGGAGTCTCGCAAAAATCCCGGTTATTTAAAATGCTCTTTTAGTTTTGCATGAAGTCAAACTCCAAATGTTTTCGAGATTGCGTGATTAATTGTAATAATGTTGCCGGGATATTTGTACAGATTAACTGAAAATAAATCAAGTTTGGCTAACTTTTCGTCATTATAATGTGTTTTGATGTGGTACTCGCTGTTATATAAATTATAAAATGAACTTTTTTCGAAAATTGTCCATCACAAATCGTGCATTTCCATCTAAAAGGTATTTAATATGGTAAACAGGGAAGGTCAGAGATCCTTCAATTAGCAATTGCTTTTCTGTTTTTCCTCTCTTGTTTGGAAATAGCTTGGAACAACTCACTTGGCAGTTCTGCGTCGTCTCCAATGGATGACGCACTATCTTGGATCTGCAGGACGTTTTCGTCAACAGTAACATTATGAGCAATGAGAAGAGCAAAATATGAAGAACGGTCAAATTTTGGAGTAAATATTGCTATAATATCTTGTTTGTATTTATATATCATTGTTAGAGTCTATAATAACTCATTTTTCTGCATGGAAAAAAGTCGAAGGAATTTTGAAACGGGAGATTTCTGGATCGGTAGAATTTGAAGTCGAAGCATATAGAAACAAAATTGAGAAGAAAAAGAGCTCCCTGTATTTTTTGGAGTACCCGTATCAAAAAATATGGATTTTCTCGTCAACAGTCAGGTAAATTTTAATCGACTGATTTTCTGTCATTCAATTAGTCGTTTCAATATGAAGATGTGGTGGATGTCGTGAAAGTGGTCAACGAAGCGGTAAGGTTTGCGATGGAAAAAGTGCTTGACCAGGCCGCTTCGTTGTTTAATTGTCATGGAGACTTGGATGATTCTTCTGAATTTGTTTCATCTTCCTCAACTGATGCTCGCATCTGTGCTAGTCGTGTTTCTTGTCGATAAAAATGCTTAAAATTTGCTACCTGAAAGCAAGGTAAACAGGTAGTAAACTAATTCTAGCAAAAGTAATGAGGTAGTGACATGTAGAAATTCTCAATAATTCAATAATTTTTTTTAGTTTTTTTTTAACATTATCAAGGGAAAATTGATCTATTCAACAAAAAATACTTACAATAATAGGTACGGGTAAGGCAAGTGTCAATACACCAATTAATGCACACAAGCCACCCACTAGCTTACCGTAAACTCCAGTCGGCGTTAAATCTCCATACCTTAAAAAATGTACTTCATTTAAAAGCAAAGAAAATTTCGAAAACATCCAATCAGGACGAAAATAAGTAACACTTACAGACATGACTGTAATCTCATTATTTCTTGCAAAACTTCAAAAGTTCAACGAAAAATGATGGTTAAAAGAAAGAAAGGTAGAATTCGATATTAACAAACGTGCAGTTATTGTTTACTTTTGGATTATTTACTAATTTGAAGGATTTCGAAAAATAAAAATCAATCTTTGTGCACAAAAGGGGTTTAAAAATCAGAAAAGTCAATTCTGATACAGTTGTATTCCTTAGAACAGCATGATGTTTCCTTCAATATAATACAACATCGTTTCAATCCAATACAACATCGCACGCATGCTGATGACGTTTATGTGACATAATGACAACGTTTAGTTGTTGTGAAGAAAAAGACAATATGTTGTAAGAAAAAAAAAGCGAAACGTCCAAGCTGTTTATAGCGTACGTCTAAATGATGACGCATCAGCATCGAAATATTTGTAATGTTTGAAACAAGTCGGTAGTCACCAAAGGATTTTTTGGATAGTTGGAATTAATAAGTCTAACACCAAGTGAAAGTTTTAATGAATAATTTCTGAGGATAGCTATTAGTTGTCGGAAATCGAAATTTAATTAATGGACATCAACGACAAAAGCGACACATATGCCTCAGACAAATACGAAACTCACCCGACTGTAGTCATTGTAACCTGGAATAAATTGAAAAGGATATATAAAAGTATCAAAATTACAGGAATATTCTTGAAGTAGTACTTGAACTGTCAAAAGAACAGAGTGGTGGTGTTGTGGAATATCAGAGCTTACCAAAACAAACCAAAAAGAAGCAGGAATTGAGGTAAATTTTGTATTTGGTTCATTCTGTTCAGCGAAGTAAACACCGCTGGAGAAAAGTACCAGAGCAATGACCATAAAAAAAATAAGAAGGCAAAATTCCTGTATGGATGCACGAAATGTTTTGCCAAGGATTTGCAAGCCAACTGAATGTCTGCAAATGACTTCGTCATCAAAACCATCCTCATTTCCAGCAAATCACCGATCTATCCTATTGCATTCTTAATTCTTAGTGTTACCAAGAATGGACAAATGCTTCCTTAATTATCAAAGAATCATTAGTGTATTGATGCATACAAAGAATAAAATGACTCATTACTAACCTGCTGAGTTTGAATATCCTGAATACTCGCACCAATCGCAGAACACGTAATACAGCGAATGACATTGATGAGCTGGATTTGGTTGAATCCATCCTGAAACTTACATTATCCCTTCAATCGAATTCAATTTTAAACTATGATTTTTCATTTTTTATCAACAATACCTTATGAATAAAATTAGCTTTTAATCATCTCACAACTACATCTGTATTTCCAAAATGATTAAAGTAGATTAAGATGAACTAAGCTTACCACATTAAATTACCAAAAAAAGGAGCAATAGCAACAAAGTCGATAATGTTGAGAAAAGAGCGAAGAAAGCTGAACTTATCCGGACAGCTTATAAATCGTAGCAATAATTCTGAAATCACATATTTCCTACTACATAAGGTAACCAGCTTTACTATAAAAGTTCTTATATCATAAACGAAATAAAAGAGTAAGAAAGTGCTTTATAATTGGAATTTCCAAAATTTCAATTTGTGCGAAAAAGTAATTAGCATACAAGTCACTTAGAGCTGGACGTAGATGCTTAATAAAGCAGAAATTTAAATCTAAACCTAAATTGGTTTTTTTTTTTAAAAAAAAGGACTGCAGTTTGTGCACTAATAAAAGTTCTGGTTGTCTCGAGAGAAAAATTTTTCATAATTTAGTTCATTCGGTAAAGCGATAAATGGTTTATTAAAAGAAAAAATTTCCTCTCCTGATTGAGTATCTCGAGATTAATGCTTACTTTTTATATAAATACAATGCAAAAGATGAATGAAAAATTCCCTAAATAACCGAGATTTTCTTTCTAGAAATTCAAATTTTGAATTTACACTATCCTAGTTATCAGTATTTATCACGAAATTGCAATATAAGAGGAATGGTAACCAACCAATGCTAAACCAAATAATACAGAACAACTCAATATAGAAAAATGGATTAGACCAGTCGCGTAAATCACCCGCATTTTCTTTCATTGATGGTAGTGTTTCCAAACAAAATGATATTATTGAGCTAGAATCTAACAGAAACATAATTTAAACTTTATATGATATATTGATTTTGGTATAGCCATAAATAAAACACAGAATTTGTGTGGAATTTTCAGAAAATAACTAAAAATGTATTAAAACTTCAAAGAATACACACATGCTAATAACGAAAATAGAGAGAAGCGCAAATATACGAGCGAATAATGAGGAATCCGGATATTCCACCAGTTCCCATAATTGCCGTTGTAACATGTTTTGAGGCATCTGAATCTCTTTCGGTTTTTCGTAACCTTCACTAATCCAAAATTTCTCCAATAATTCTTCACCCATCTGTAATAAATCGATACCGTAATCACTGCTATCGAAATAAACACATCTACAATATTAGCTTTCATTATCTCTATACATCTATCAGAGATGCTCTCATACTTTGCTAAAAGTTCTCAAGTCGGATAAAGCTGTCGTTTAACTATTTACAACTTCTAATGGAACCATAAGCGCCTATAGCATTCTGTAATTAGCTGATATTAGAACTGATGAACATTTTCAAAATTTTTTTTCAAATAATAATTTACTTCGAAAAATTTGAGTTCTTTGATAAACATATCGATTGGTACCGATTCTGGCCTTTTCACAATGCCACCACTTTGATAAGTATAAAGTATTGATTCAAAACTGTAAAATCATGATTAGTGCCACCGGAACACTTTGTCCCGTCAAAACATAATCATGGTTTAACAAATAAGTTAGTGTCAACAAAAAGCTTCATCCATCGCATCATTATAATGTAACGGAAATTGAAACTATAATTTTGGAAAGAATTGGTACATCTTCAATAGTTGTTCTAGTTTCAAGATAATTTTCTGAAAAAATTTTAAAATAGAAAAAAAAAACAGAAGAAAACCAAAAAAAAGAGACCTTGTACGATGCCGATCAAAAAAATATTCTTCATTTTTGGGATCCCAGAAACGATTTCGTTTAAATGAATTGCCAAGCAATGTCGACGGATATCTGCCAAAAGTAACATTAAAATATTTGCATTATTATTGTTCGATATGCATTAGGCATATTCATAACTGGACATTAGGCTTGCTTTTTTACAGAAGATGAAGTCACTCTCTTCTAGTAGAAGCGACATTGTATCATTAAAAACTCAAATAGATATCAGACATTGTTAAAAGAAATTTTGAAAAGAAAAAAGATGGATGAGTCAAGTGGACAGAAGTGTTTCATTTTTCAACTCTACATAATAGCATGTTTTTAGAATTGTCATTTTATTTCCCTAATGTAATTTACATAAGTCATTTGTGAACTTTGATGCTTTAAAATCGAAAATTTTAAAATTGAAAATCCCATGAAAAGAGAAGACTCAAAGAAGCGTTATAATTTATTGGATCATGCACCTGTGGGAAGATGAAGAATTTGTGGAATTTGTGGAATTATAACCATGCAAATCATTTAAATTACGCATATTTGCCACTTTAAAAGCACTATAATTAAGTATGCTAATGAAGCATGAAAGTTCTAATGTCGTTGTAAGTAAAATAAAAGTTTAATCTAGCAGAAAGATCATTCCGATCGACACACATCAAAAAGCATTTATTTTACTAACCTTTCCAATGTTGATTCATAAGTTTGAAACCTTAGACCAGAAACGTTGATTGTAATTAGGTTACGCTCTAGTTGTTTCATTGATAACGTATCATTAAAGGTTATATTGTTTGGCTGAAAATATTTGTATATTACTAAATTTTAAATATCAAATCTTTAATTACAGTCAATAGAGCACTATAAAACTCACGAATGAATGTATGGTGAAAAACATAAAATTAAATAAAGCGGATCGTTAAGTATCAGGTGCAAATCAGGTCAACAGAAGAATCTGTTTTCGAAAAATGGAGAATTCATAAAGCGCATTCCGTTTGTATTCTAACAACAGATTTTTGATGATTAATCTATTTTTACATTCCATTTCAAGCCACTGTAATGTGCGTGCAAAGTTTTGATTTAAGTTCAGGAAAATCATTCATGACTGGCCTCTTCTTCTGTAATCATCGGGAAAATTGATCCATTGTTTGGTTTTTCTTCGTTTACGTCCCTGTTTGATATACCCATGATGGGAGACCTGTAGAAGTGTTACATAGATTTGATAAATCAATAGTGTAGACTGCATGGAATATCCATTTATTAATTAATCTAGTTAGAGCATATTTTTTGATGGACTAAAACAGATAAATTTACCCAATCATTTAGGTATAAAATCAACGGTTTTATCGAAATTATTTAAATAAACTGAACTAAACAGTAAATACCTGTATTAAATCATTCTAAAACTAGAGAAAGTGTGATTGCTTACAAAAAGAAATCAATAAGTAAGTGTAAATTAGTCCCCCACTTTGAGAGTTGCATATTTCTAGATTTATGAACATTGTTTACATTAAAATACATCTTGTGGCTGTCATCCAAGCTTATTTTCCTTAAACTCGATGACAAGAAACCTTCCATATTTTTAAATATGCCATTCTTAATTTGCTTCCAGTTATGTATGAGTCCTTTGTGCTTCTGTGCATTATTAGACGGGGTAAAAGATAAAATGTATGAGTCTACTAATTAGCTGGCTAAATTCAAACAACTGTTAAAAGAAATAATAATTTGTAAGCATATCGCTGGAGAATGCATTTTGCGTTTGATTCCTTTCCATTTATAACTTTCCATTTTAGCAAGTCCAAAATTAGTGATTTTGTTAAATTTTTTAAAAATCAAAAGAGCAAATCAGATGAATTAACTAACCAATGGCCTTTAGTTAATGATTTATTCCACTTTAGAAAATGAATTTTTTTGCTATAAAAATTAGTTTAGTGACAAATTTTTGAAGAAGAATAAATGAAATAGAATGATGAGAAAAGAGAAATGGAAGTAAAAAGAGCCTCAAAGTGGAGGATCATGTATGAAAAACGACGGTACTCATCAATTGCGGCAGCTGGCGCAAATGATTGACATTTGTGTAAAGCTTCAATAATCTCTTCCTTCTTTCAGTATATTCTCTGAGCTTAACTTTGAACGAACTAACATTTGCTTACATACATACAGAGCCAGATACATACAAACGAACAAACATACACATACATACATACATACACATGCACATATGTACAATAACAATGTCAACAGTGTCTTTTCGATCTGATTGTACTAGCTTTTCAAAGTTATCCTGATGATATAAGAAGCACCGTACTCCCTTAAGACTTTATCGAAATACTGCACTTATACGTATCTGAGAACAAGGACTTTCTGGTTGGTGCATAATTATTCATGCTTGAAGTGATCACATTTGGTTTAAACAAATTTGTCACCAAATCATCGTTGTGAATTATTTCAAATGATAAAGTTAGTTTAGGTTACTCAATCTATCAAGAATCTTTGAGATATCTGCTGGAATAAACTTTTCAGATTAAACTCTTGATGGATAGGTCATTCCGTCGTCATATCAAATAATTACATGTCATTCTTATTATCAGCAATCAATAACCAACTTATATGCACAACCTCATTATTCATGTCATTGTGTTTAAAAATCTCGGAAAAATTAACTTTCTGTTGCTGGAAAAATTGGAATTAATGATGGTTCGTCATTGAAATGATTCATAGGTCACGATAGGTCACGTTGAAGATATTATGTTTGAGTTAAAATTCAAACATGCCGTTGTTTGTTTTCGCACACATATAAATTTTAAAAAGGAAATTACGTATGAAATGCTAGCTGTAGTATAAATTTTCAACACATTCAACATGACAAATGTATAAATTTGGCCAGAAACAGTTAAATCTAATTTTTTTCAAGACTACATCCAGACGATGAACAAACTTGAGAGCAACAGCTATAAAAACTCGAACTCGTGCTTCAAAATAATTATTAAATTTTCAATGCAATCGAATTTTCCAAGTGCAGGAAACTACCACATTTCCTTTATTTATTCTTAAATAGAATCATCTTACAGAAAATCAACCGATCGGGATCGATGGGAATCTATTTCGCTCAAATCAATTGGTGTCGAGGTTCGTGTTTGTCGGCCACTCCGACTGCGATATTTCTCTGGATGAACATTTAGTAAATGCTCTATTTGTCTGGAAACATGAAAATTATTCATATTTAAACTTATGTGAACTATTTAAGGAGTTTCTCAACGGTTTAAAATGTCTAAGTTACGACACACCGTCTATTTCTTTTATTTTGCTATCTTTTAAATATTTATGCCAAGTCATTAACTCGTGGGAAATCTGAAAGAAATTCGAAAAATTCTTAATGAATATTTTTCATCAATCAAGAATGGACAAGAAATTAGTTTATCGATTACTGACGTTGGTGCATTAATGAAATATTAATCCCTCGGGAGGAAATGTCGCTTTATTTTATCGGAGAAAATGTTTCAAATTGTGTTTTAAAGTGCTCCCATATTGGTTTCATGTAATAAATATTATGTTGAACTTTGTTTGGTAATTTTTAAAATTCAATATTTTCATCAAAAATATAATATCATCTAGGTATTTAAAGATCGTGCTAATTATACCTTTTTCCGTAAAATCGATATTTTTCCAGCATCTATTAACGTCGTCAAAACTCAATTTGAAGGAATTTGTAAGAATATATAATCAAGCATTAATAACTTTGCATAGAATAAGTAAAATAAGCCGATGCGAGCAAAACAGCAAATGCTAATTAGAGATATACGTGTTGATGTGGATGACGTCTAAAAAAGTGTTTAATAAGTAAGTGAACGTTCAAATGCCTGAAACAGATACATTTAGTGATAAATATTGAAAAATACGTTTGCAAGCATCATTATCAGCTAGCGCTAACATGATATAGCTAGTATACTAGTGGATGACAAATAGTTAAGCAATAAATGTACCGAATATGTACTATTTAAAGTTACCAAAGAGTAGGATAACAGGAAAATGACTATTGTAAAAGTTTAGAAATATTGTTAAAACTAGATCATTTAAAAATGTTGCATTCAAACCGCTTGCTGTTTCAACTTTCTCATCACTAGAGGAGAAAAAATGTATAAGTCATTTACTTGTCACGCGATTTGGAATTTATCGACGATGTTTTCATACTTTTAATTAATTGATTTCAATTCCCCGGCTACAGTAAACTTCGCGTTTTCATCCAAGTTTTCTCATTGTTCCGTATTTACTTGAACTTAAACACAGGATCACCATACGGTAGGTTGACAAGGTCGATCCTATAAGGGAATTCATTTCACGCAATGGCTGGTTGTTCTCTAACGTTTACCTTTCTAAACCTGCTACTTTTATTAAAATGACAAAATAACAATTTTCCAATGAATTCATCGCTGAATGGAAATATCTATACCTTATTAAGGCAAAAACAAAACAAAAATTAATTACGAATAAAAGAAAATTGGGAAGGTGATTGCTGGCTGATTTGTTATCAACGCTGACCACACAAACAAATTGAAACCTTGTCATTTTGATTAATGAACTGATGTTTGAGCAAGCTATTTAGACTGTTTTTATCCCATGTAGATTGACAAGTAAATAGAGCCTGCTATCCGTTTGGAAAGACAAGGCATAAATTCAAATTAATGCAGTTGTATTGCACTCTACTTAAATTTGATCCTTTTCTCATTTATAGGGCTATTTTAGTATCGAAAATACATTTATCGAGTAATGGTCATCAAACGGTCGATGGTATTTCCAAAATATTCTCAGAATTTCAGAAAAATTGTCCAAATGCTAACTTTCGATTTTTGCTTCAAATTTTTAGAAATTAGAATAAAACGGAATATTCGGTGTAGAATTAATTCGTAGAAAATGTGAAAAATGTTGACTTTGTGAGGTTCAATTTTTATGATCTATAAGGGTAATAATTTTCACTTTTTTCAAGAAATATTGTTGGGATTTAACATTACAATGAATTGTTCTGATTTTAAACTAATTTTTTTTCTTGATAATGGAAAGAAGAAAACGGTCAAACAAGACGAACGACAAACAGTTTCAACAAAAATTATATAATATTTGAAATGCACAACAGATAAAAAGTGAAGCAAAATGTATTTTTTAACAGAAGCGTTAATAGATGACAGTTAGTTATTTTGCTTCAAATTGGAAAAATAAATTTGAAGTGTTAAATGAGCGAATAAACTTTTTAGCTGAATGCCGTCGACTAAAATAATGTACCATCTGACTTTTCTCGTTATGCAATAACAGGCATTTAAATCCAGTGGAATAATTCATTGCAAATATATTTAGAAAAATAAAATTTGTTCGGCTTACTAACTTTTCTGAAGATATCTTTCACGACCTGATGGAACATTTCAATACAAAACGGATTAGACAATTATTCTAGGTTTTTCAGAAATCGCTTTCCAAGATAAGTTAGAATTTAAGCATAAAACTGGTGACATGGATGAGAAAAATAAGGAAATACTTCTTTTCTGAAGAAAGATAAGTCAAGTTTTCCAGAAAATCTGTCTCGATTTTCACTTCATCTTCCGTCTCAGTACGAATTAAAACGAAATACCAGGTTAAATTCAAAGGCGGTTAGATTTTGCAGTCTACCAATTTTAAAATTTATGTGTAATTTCTGATATCTGCTCAATTATCTCAATTTTCCAATTGCTTCCATCACTTCAACTACTTCTGCAACACGGTTGAATATTTCTAATACGTCAATATTTTTTCGAACTTTCCAATCAAACTTTATTTAACTATCGGAAACTGCATAAAATGTATTAGAAATAATGATAGAGACTTTTGGAATATGTGAACTCCACTAAACTTATTATTCAAAAACATAACTTTCTTTTTAAAAATCTAAAAAAAGAAATTAATTTACGGCGAAGCCTCTCTAGCCTGCCTTTTGAAAAATGCATAAATCATAAACATTAGCACTCTCTAATCAGGCCTTGCCATAAACTCTATTTTCAATACACTGAAAAGATATTCAAAAATTTGCAACTAACATGAAACTTTTAATTAAACAGCTACTTTGAAGTTAAAAGTATTGTAATTCAAAAATATATGTTGTTAGGATAAGCATATCAAATCTAATCTTTTTTGAGATAGAAAAACAAAGCAATTACATCTATCGCAATTTTGAT